CCAACAAATTCACCTTCGGGGTGAGGTCCGGAAAACTCCTAGGGTTTATCGTCAATGGAAAAGGTATTGAAGTCAATACCACAAAAGTTAAAGCCATACAAGAAATGCCATCTCCATGTACTGAGAAGGAGGTTAGGGGTTTCTTAGGGCGACTCAACTACATCGCCTGATTCATATCTCACTTGACGGCTACCTGCGAGCCAATCTTCAAACTATTGAAGAAAGATCAAGTAGTCAGATGGAATGACGACTGCCAAGCAACTTTTGACAAGATTAAGGAGTACTTACAAGAACCTCCAATCCTGATGCCTCCAGTTGAAGGAAGACCTCTGATTATGTACTTGATTTTATGAGATAATTCAATGGAGTCTGGCCAAAAAGAGCATGCAATACACTACCTTAGCAAAAAGTTTACCGACTGTGAAACCAGATATTCACTGCTCGAGAAAACTTGTTGTGCTTTGGTATGGGCTGCTCGCCGGCTAAGACAATATATGTTGATTCATACCACCTTATTGATTTCTAAGATGGACCCCATCAAGTATATCTTCGAGAAGCCAACTTTCTCCAGACGAATAGCTAGATGGAAAATGATATTAACTGAATACGATATCTAGTACACTACACAAAAAGCAATAAAGGGAAGTGTACTGGAGGATCATTTGGCCCATCAAACTGTTGATGGCTACCAATCTATGAACTTTGAATTCCCGGATGAGAATATCATGCTGATAATCGACTGTGAAAAGCCTAGACCGTATGAAGGACCTGAACAAGGATCCCGATGGACTATGGTTGTTGATGGGGCTTCTAATGCATTGGATAATAGAATTGGTGATGTGATCATTTCTCCAGAAGGTTGCGATACACCTTTAACTGCCATACTTTGCTTCGACTGTACGAACAACATGGCCGAGTATGAAGCATGCATCTTGGGTATAAAGGCCACCGTTGACCTAATAATCAAATCCTTGAGTGTATACGGAGACTCAGCCCTGGTGGTACGTCAAGTTAAAGGAGAGTGGGATATCAAGCATCCAAACTTGATCCCTTACAAATAGCTTGTGCTAACCTTGATCCCATACTTCGAGGAAGTTAACTTTGAACATTTCCCGAGGGAAGAAAATCAGTTGGCATATGCTTTAGCAACTATGTCGTCTATGTTCAAGGTTAATTGGGACAATGAAGCTCCCAGAATCACTATCGAAAGATTTGACGAACCTGAGCACTATTATGAGATTGACACTGATGAGGAGAAGCCTTGGTATCATGAAGTGAAAAGGTATATTGAAACACAATAGTATCCTGAGGGAGCTGGAACAACCGGCTGAAAATCATCAAACAATGAAGTCACCATCGAACGTCTTTTATCCCACATATAGGGAAAGGTAAACATCGAGAAGACCTGAGAAGGGAGAAGTCGCGGTCTTGCGACTGAGAGATAAGGGTAAGGGAGTCTGTTACGCGGGGGGAAGGTATTAGCACCCCACACGCCCGTAGTACTCTACAGTATCCACTCTTGTTGTCTATCTTATGGGTATGTTTAATCTGTGCTTATTGTTTATTACTGCTAGAGGGAGAATGCATGCAAAAGAAAGGGAAAGAGAATGTAGGGAAAATTAAATTGTGCTCGTTCGGGCCCTACCCCGATGCCTACGTATCCCTTTTACGGAATCAGAGCAGCCGTAGTTCGGCTTACATGTTTTTGTGTTGGTTTGTATTTTTATAATGAACAATATTAATTTCTCCTTCTGCCGCAACTCGACCTTTGGAGACTTACACGTCAGCATAAAAGTGAATTAACATATTCTTTCTGAAAAAAGTTTGGAGAAAATGTGCTTGGTCGCACAAAAAGGTTTGAATTTGTTTGTTTGTAATGAACGATATTAATCTCGCCTTCTGCCGCAACTCGACCTTCGGAGATTTACGCGTCAGCACAAAAGTGAATTAATATGTTCTTTTGAAAAGGAGGCTTGAAAGACAGGCCCGGAGGCAAAAAGAGTTTGTATTGGTTGGTATTTTTGCTTGTAGATAATAGCTAGTTAATCTCAAGAGAGAGATTTTAGTCATTTCTCTACTTATTCATGAAATTATTCTTTGAGACTTGAACCATGCCAAGGCTTAGAATAAGAGAATAATAAGATCGAGAAGAAACCCGCTTATCATCTCCCAAACTTAGCAAAGACATGATTCTTGTCAGTAAATTTTTATGTATTTTGAGGTTTGTAAGAGAAAGAAGTTTTTTTTTTCTTTGTGTTAACGTATATGCAAAAAGAAAAAGAAAAGTTCAGGTGAGACTAGCCTATTTCTAAACTTAATTTTATTATACTTCACACAATCTATGGTGATATATAAGTGCAAGGTGTAAATAGGAAGAAAATATACCAAACGAGTATTAGCCCGTAGAGCAAAGCAGAAAAAACAAAGATACTCGACGATCTCGCGAGTTGCTAGCATCAACAAAGAAAAGAGTCAGAAATCCAATACTCGGAATAATTGTTAAAGCATCATCGATGTGAAAATAAATCATAATCGAAATTTCAAGCGTATCTGCATATCGTATAATGAACCTGCATAAGATTTAAATCGCAACAAAGGAAAGGTGAATCATGAATTTCAAATAATCGGATAACCACGAATTAACTTTTAAGAAATAAAAAATAAGAAGAAAAAATCTTAACAAATTTTGCTGGTTTTTATTATTTTTATTTTGTGAAGAAAATTAAAACAAGCCTAAACTATAATCAAAATTTTAAAAAAAAGGAATTGCAAATAATAAGAAACAATCCAGGGGGTGCAAACTGGGAACAGGAGGTATAGTAAGTGAACCAGCTCTAAGCCAAACTTGGATTTGGTCCACAAGCAATTTTTTTAGTATCAATCAGGCTTCAAAAAAACAACTATGCAAGCCTAATGAGTGAAGCCCATTTTGGGTCCAAGTACCACAATCCAGATTTTTATTACATGTTTCAGCCTGATTATCAAAAATAATAATTAAAAAAAAACTCAAATAAAAATTAAAAAAACGTGGATTAGGTTTAAGAAAGGGGTGACGGTTAGACTTCCCCAAATATCCTCCTTCTTCTTTTTCGACCCTTCTATGGCGTTGACACTAGCTTTGATTTCATCTTCGATCCGCCACCTCAGCGTCACTCTATCATGGAGATCTTGCTAATACACCTAAAAATAGTGCATATGATGAGAAATAGGAACTGCTTACCTACCAAAGAATCTCAATGGTTCTTCAACAGCCGCACAGACGAGAAAACCTTAAACAGGCAGGCTTTTCAATTCTTCTTCTTGTACACTTGCTTCTTCTGCTTGCGCATTCTTCCTCTGCTTGCGCGTTCTTCGCTTTTTTTCTGCTTGTGCACGATGCTATGTGAGATGAGTCTGTGAATTGGGTTTCCGAGTGCTGTTATGGTTGAAGAAGGTTGAAGAAGACGAAGGTTGAGGGTGGTGGTGAAGGAAATGGTGCATGGGAGAGATGGTTGAAATCGAGAGAAAAAGAAATGGTGTATGTGAAGGTTGTGGAGAATCTCAGAGATAGGGAAGGGATGAAAGGATAGAGAATGAAATCTTGTGGCCGTCGTGAATGAAGATGGAGATGCGGTTATATAAGAGTTTGAAGATGATGAATGCAGTTACGGGAGAATCAATCTGAGCAACTGATTTGAGTAGAGTTTGTTATGGATTGAAGGGTGAGATTGAAAGTTAGAGTTTCATTAGTTATAGCTGTTATCAGGAGTTAGCTGGGTTAGTTACAGATCGGTTATAGATTTGTTATGAGGAGATTGATGAGCTGGAGTTTTGGTTATGACCTTCTTGAATCTGAGCCATTGAGTTTTCAATTTGTTATAGAATTCCCTATTGATTCAGATGAAAGTTAGTTATCAGCTTTTCAATTCTGTTATATCTGTTAGAGTTAGTTATAGAATTAGTTATGGAGTTATAAAATTGTTAGGATATTAGCTGGTAATGGGAGATTCAGTTGGAAATCAGTTAGAAAAGTTTGTTTAGAGTTATGGATTTTCTGTTAGAAATTGGTTATGACAGTTAGGAATTAGAATTTGGCTAACTGTTTGGAATTCTGTTGAAGCTATTAGAGACTGTTTTTTTTTGGAATCGAAGTTAGTTGCAGGTCTGTTTAGAGAGTTTGTTATGACTTTGGATCCTCCTTCATAATCAGCAGTGACGGGCTTGCCATCAAAATAGTGCATAATAGTTTCAAAAGCCTCTGATTCTTCTGATGAGAGACAGAAAGCACACTCATAATTTTTGGCATTACTCACACATTTCCTTAAAGCTGGTTGATCTGTCAAATGACATTGCTTCTCTTTCAAAGAATCATTCAGTGCCCCGACATCGGTAACTTTCATTTGGCTTGAGCTCAGGGGAAGGCTTTAACTTTTTAGCACTCTTCCTTTCTGATTTTTTCTTTTGTTTTTTTTATGATGCATTGAAGATTGATGTGCGAGTTGTTGATGTTATTTTTGCATTCTTGTTATTGCAGTCAATGTTGAAGATTGATGTTGGAGTCGAGATGAAGAATGTTTGAAGGTTCGGTTATGCTTGCAGATGCAGTGCGATGATGAAGAGGTTGAAATCATGGTGGTTCAGTGATGTGCGGTTGTTGCAGAGGCAGATTCATTGATGAATGACGCTGGTGATGCAAGATTCAAGTATTGTTTGCATAGAATTGATTGAAGAGAGAGTGCAGAGGTTAGTGATAGAGTGAGAATCTGATAAATAAACTCATAATTGAGAGGTAAGTTTTGAAGTTTTTTCTGTGATATGTGAATTTTGATTGTGAATGAAATTGAAGGTTGAGATATTGTTAGATTGAAGAATCAGCGTCAATGGATCAGAAGTTAGTTACAAAAGATGGAAGGCTCAGATCGATTTTTTACAAGAGGTAAATTCTGTTATGAGCTTGAGCTGTGTTCTGTTTTCTTTTGTTAGCAGTTTCTGTTATCACTGTTAGAGTTTGTTTGTGGGCTTTAGAATTCTATCCTCTGGTGCAGATCCTCCATGGCATTCTCATGTGAAGAAGGCTGAAGGTATTGAGCAAAAAGCAAAGATGAGAGCGGAGGTAGATGGTCGGAGGAGTCGTCAAACCTTAAGCAGTCTATGATGTCAACATCTGCCGACGGCGAGTTCTGGAGAAAAAAGTTCAGTATTCCATCGGGAATGGGTGAAGATGGTTCAAATCCTGCTTTTAATGTTTTTTCTAAATTAACAATTTTCAATGCCATGGATAATCCATATGAAAGTGGTTTCAGCTTTACTTTCAACGACTTCAGGCTATGCAGGGAAGATATCTTAAGCTTCAAAAGATTAGGAATAAAGGAGAGAACCTGAAGAGTACTTGCAGAGACTGTCAATGATTTGACATTAGCGAGTTCTTGCAGCCAGCTAAGTAAAATAGCAGGAGGCTCCGAGTAATTTGCCAACATTTCCACATCAATGTTTACTTGTTTAATAGAAGAAAGACTGCTTCCACAAAACATCTGATAAGGAGAACGCGTAAAAGCGAATGAGAAGATAGCTTGATTCCGTAATTGTTGAAAGAATGACTATGCACAGTTAAATTGACTAGTGTCTCATTGGATATGCACAAGATTTTGAAATCCTTCACCATAAAATTATCAATAATCAAATCATTCAACCGATTAACAGGTGAAAAAGGATCAATTCGGCCATCGTCATTAGCACCAAAGGCAAAATTTCCCAGATGCAAACTGGTTAACGCGGGTAAATTCAAAGATTTAGGAAAGATCGTCCTCCCGTAATTATGACAACCTTTAGGTGAAACATAGAGCTTAAGAGATGTTAAAGTATGACATGAAGAAATGCAAGGCAGAACGTGAGCAATATCACATTTGACATTGATTCTTAATCTAAATAGCTTGACATTATGGGATAAAACATGGCATGCAAACCTTCCAAGTAAGCGAGACTCGATGCTACAATTACGAACAAAATCAACAACATGCAGTACAATAGAGTTATCGCGAAGAGACAAAATTCTTGACACGAATTTATTGAAAACTCTTCAAAGTAGAGAAATCTGAGGAATACAATGTAAGAAGGGGAATATATTTCCAAACATGGTTCCATCTTTTGGACAAAATGGAAGTTTGAACAGAATCTTTGGTGTTCAAAAATGATAAAATGTGAATGAGAATTGAATCAGAAAAGTCACTTAGTTTGTCAAGATCATTCATTCTTCCCTTCTTGATCAGGTAAAACCAAGAGGGTAGTATGGACGTGCGTTGAATCAGAAGTATGTCTTTTACTTTTCACAGTATAATTGTTGAGCGAGGGAGAGAACATTCTATTTTCAATTCTTTGGGTTTTTCTTTCCTTTTTGGGTTTGGCATCCCAAGTCCTTCTTTGACCTTATGTTTGTGAAATCCCAATGTCTCGCATTCTATCAATTTGAATGAACTTTCTTGCTTAAATATTTTCAAATGAACGAATCTAAGCTTATTTAAATCAACTTGAGTGAATACATGCTTAGATGCCTTTATGTACTTAATCCATAACCCGAACCTCCCATATGAAACTTTAGACTTTGATCCTAAAAGTATTGAAATGACAATTGACATTAGATTTGGAGTATAACTTTAATTCATATAGGGGAATATGACTTCTTTTAAAAAATGATAAAGCTTGGATTTCCCTCCATTATGTTTTAATTTGAACGAATCTTCAAGCATCTAGTATTTTCTCCAACTTTCAATCTTGAACCTTGATTTCATATTATTGTATTTCATTTGGATTCTTCCATATTTCTCGGATGAGTTTTGTGATACTTGGTATCTTGGAGATGAAGTATGACTTGAATCTTTCTTTCTCTCAAAAACTTCTTTTAACCTTTCAAATTTTGCTTCAAATTGCATCCTTTAATATAACACATCATGAGATCAGATACTCTTAGTCAATCAAAGGAACTCAAGTAAGATATTGTCAAAACCTTGGATGCAACTATGACCCAATACACCACGTTCACCTCAAAGCCTTGTGTGAGAACCAAAGAGATAACTTGTATGGCCTAAGCAATGTAACATCTTGATCCTCAAGCATCATAGCTAAATGAAAGAATTTATTTGAATCAGTGATAAACAAAGATCAAACGGTAAAATGGGCACCAGTATATCCACATTTGTCTTCTGTATGAAGTTTCCGATCACATAGCTTATGACTTAAGTAATAAGTACCCCCTTTCGATTCACAAATAAAGATCGAAAGAAAAACCCTAGCTAGTCATTGACGAAGAACCTTTGACTATTAGCCCTGCCAAATTCATCTGACAGACCCAAGCATAGGGAAATAAACCCTAATCAAAGGATGACATTGAGCACAAGGAGATAATGAATGCCTGATTTAGTAGCCCTTAGATGACCTCGTAGAACAAATTGGAAATGAACATGGGGATACAGAAAGAAATATGACCAAGATGGCCATGACTTAGAAAACCTAATGAACCTCGGTTGATGAAATTCTGACAAGCACAAACTTGGTGGAGAAATGCTGACAAGCACAACCTTGATGGAGAAATACTTTGATTATTGTCTTGAATGTATCTGAATGAGTAATAACCCCCTTAACTTGAAGAGGACGAAACCCTCAATAAGCATAGTTACAAGCCTAGTTCCATATTTCACTGCTTGAAATATAATCAGAAGAATCATGCCTTATTGGATACGAACACCTTATCCGTTGCGAAACCCTAATATCGCACAGCCACCGAACTTCGAACCTCAAGCGTTTTATTGAATGAAAATGTATGTTAATGACTTAATGGAATATATATATATATATATATATATATATATATATATATATATATATATATATATATATATATATATATATATATATATATATATATATATATATATATATATATATATATATATGAATGCAAGAGTCTAAGCCAGATAGAAGAAATTATGAGGGAAAAGTTTGGGGTGCAACAGAAGCCTCAATCAATGACAAAAAATTCCTACGGAGGTTCTCAGCCAAATTCTTCCTAAGCAACGGGATCTTGTACAAACACAACCATAATTCAACTCTGCTCCGCTGTATGGACAAGAAGGAGGCAGAGAAGATCATGGAAGACATGCATAAGGGTATTGTTGTACCCCAAAATTTGCCCTCGCATTTTTTCACAAAAAGATAACAACTTTAAGCATTTCCTGATTTTTCAAACTGGCTCAAGAATCGGGCAAACGGACTTTTCTTGTCAGTCAAGCGAAATTAGGGTTTTTACTGATTTTCAGGGCTCTGGATTGTTTCACAATTGGCTTAGGGTTCTGGGTGATTCTGGCTCAATTGCGATCAGGCGAATGTTCGTTGACATTTAATCAGGGATTAAGGTTTTATGGGCATATTCTCAGAAAGGTTAAAATTCCACAGCACTTTGCAAGATATTCTGAGATTCGGGTTGAATTCGCATTGTTTTGATTTAGTCAGTAAAAGAGGCTGTTGGTTTGAATTCACGTTGTTTTGTTTGAGCCAGTCAAAAGAAATACGCAGTTTGGATTTACAGTGTTTGTTGAAAATCAGTGAAGAGGGAATGCGCCTGTTTGGTTTGTTTTGGTTAACTGTCATTTTGCTTTGGAAATACCAGGTTTAACTGATCAGTGTGCTAAAACATTGTTTATTTATTTATTATTCTAAATTAAATGATTGAAATTTATTTTTCAATTATTTTAATTCAAAGAGTTTTAAATAATAAATAAACAATAAAGAGAAAACATAATTAAATTGGATAATGGAAACTTTTATTTATTCTTAAATCAACTGTACAATTATTGTTTATAATTTAATTACAAACAATGGTTTTACATTGATTTAAATTTAAATAAAAAGAAAAGCTATCCTATTTGTTTTCTAATTCTTCATTCTTCACTTTGTTCCTCTCCATCCAAATATGCATCTGCAAAAGAAAAGGAGAAAAGTCAAATAACAGTTAAATTGAAGAGACAGATAAAAAGAAATTCATCATTAAGGGCCACTGACTGGGATCAGTTAACCCTCTCTGCAAATCACGGGATTTCTCCCGGTTCACAAAGAGGGAAGAATTTTATTCGTTTAATCATGAATGCAAAATTTCAAAATGCATAAAATTCAAAATGTCAAACTGCATAGTTCAAGTTCAACCAAACTGAAAAAATCCAAATGCAACTTTCTGTCAAAATCCAAAAGGGACAAATTACTGCACAAAGATATCAAAGAGGATAAAGAAGTACAGTTTACTGTCAAAATGCCAAAAAGGTATCCAGACTGTCAATAAGAAGATATGGCGAAGATATCAAAGAAAAGACAAAGTACCAAAGCTGTCAAAGAAAGATAAAGATGCAGAGGAAATCTTTTATGCAAGCTAGCTTCACTTTTCATCATTTCCCAGTGGCCACTTTCAGAATAAAGTACAGAAAAGAATCATATTATAACATATCCAACTGTACTAAGAGAGAGAGAGAGAGAGAAAAGATGCAGGTTTTTAGGCTTTAGGCAGGCATAGATAGAAAGAGATACAAAAGAGCAAAACACAGTTCAAGAAGAAAAAAAAAACCAATACAAAAACTGAGATACAAACTGCTAAGCTTGAAGCCTAACCACAACCTGCATATGCAAGCAAACCACATACTGAAGCAAACACAAAGCTCAGAAACCAGCAATACATGGCCTAAAAACCTCATAACCATACAAACCTGCAATGGCCTGATAAACCATTAACCTGTCAAGCCCAAGCATTCAACCTGAAGCCAGTTCAAGCCTGAAACCTCACAAACCCTTACCTACTGTCAACACACAAACCTACATTGGCTCAACCCTGCTAAAGCCATCAACAATCAACCGAAGCATCAGCATAAACCTACTGCAAGCATAACCTGCTGAAGCCTTGCCTACATCGTTCATAACCTCAAACCTGAACAACCATACCAACATAACCTGCTGAAGAAAATTCAAACCAGTCTAAACCCATAACCTGCATCAGTCAAAAACCTGTCTAAACCCATAACCTGCATCAGTCAAAACCTGTCAAAAACCTCACCATACTGCATAAACCATAAAACATATACAAACACCACAACCCTGCCAATAACTCAAACACAAAGAGAACCAAGTCAAAGCCTAAACCAAGCATCATACCTGCCTGAAGCCTAGAAGCAAAAACTGAGAAGTAAAAACTTCACAAAGCCTCAAGCCAATCTTGCCAAGAATCAGAAATGGCGCAAGCATAGCATCCAAAGTATACAAGCCCTCAGAACTCTGAGTTCATCATAGGGTGACATAAGCAAGCATACGACAAACACTCAAGGCAACTGAAAGAGGAGAGGAAAAGAAGCATTCCAAATCAAAACCCTCGAGCCCTCAGTAAGCACACATCATTGGGCAATCAACATAATTAACATAAGCAACATAAGCAGGCAGAATAAGGCAACACAAGAAGGCAAGTTCAGGGCAACTGTAAGAGAAGAGGAAAAGAAGCATTCAAGGCAATTCAAAGGCCTCAGAAGAGGGCTTCATCATAGGCAAAAAGCTAAACGTTCAAAGGCAAGTTCGGGGCAACTAAGATAGAAGACGTTTCAACAAGCATACAACGACGGCAACGGGGGGGCAAACCAACGAAGAGAAGAGATAAAGAAGTGAACATTAAAAGGGTTTTCAGTGCAAATGAAAATCATCATCAAACCCTAAAGTAGCAAAAGGTAAAGGTTACCAAAGCGCAAGCCCAGCATCCTCTATGTCGTCCCGCTCGTCTCGGCCTCCTAGCGCATGTCCAACCGTCCTCTGCCATCTCCAAGGTTAACACTTCTTTTTTTTTCTTTCTTTCAAAAATACCTCAGATAATCATGTGAGAAAAAACGAATTTAGAATCGAAACAAATAAAAATCATAACATGCAGTAATCAATAAACCCTAATGAAATAAGAAAGATGAAATCACCTCAAATCTGTCGCCCCAAAGTGTTGTTGGAGGGAAGGAGAGGTCGGAAGTGCCGGTGACCATGGACAAACGGGAGAAAAACTCAGAGATTCAGAAGAGCGAACGGAGAAGACGAAGAAGAAAAGTACGAACGGCGCGCTGTACACAAACCCTAAAGCCTTTGTCTCCAAATGAAAACAAATGCAAACCCTAAAACGTTACTGGACCTAAGCGTGGGCCTCATACCCTTGAATTGCCTACGGCCCATTTCTTCTTTTGTTTTCAGT